TGCTGACTCATCGCGATATCTAGTATTGAGTGACTTCTGGGCTGCCGTTTTCATAGGGCCGCGAAACTTAAACACTCGAAGACTGACGTTGAATCATCGCTGGAGGCTCCACCCAGCAATGTTTAGCATGTGGGGCCACCCATGAATGCATGCTACTTTAACCTTCTGGTGTCGTTGATACATGAGTTCTAACATAGATAAATGAGCAATAGCATTTTACCCCAGTGGCTGATCGTGGTCGGAGAAAAGTCGCGACCTATCTAGGTGGGACTTCCGTGTCTCCGCGATGTTGCGTAGTTCGGCATCTTCTTCCGTCTATATTTCCACTTCCCGAGATCTGCTCGGCTCTCGGCAACATCGAGTGGCACAGCTTGCCAAGACATCTATTCCTCTAGATTTGGGCATGATACATGGAACACTGCTAAGTGAGCTCAAGCTGATACCAAGATCTATGGAGGCAACATTGGATAAGAGCAAACACCCTGCCTCACAATACAGGAGTGGAGGCAACATTGGATAAGAGCAAACACCCTGCCTCACAATACAGGAGTGGAGGCAACATTGGATAAGAGCAAACACCCTGCCTCACAATACAGGAGTGGAGGCAACATTGGATAAGAGCAAACACCCTGCCTCACAATACAGGAGTGGCGCAAAGTTTCCGTTAACATTGAACTCGTGCACCTGAACCAAACGCTAGGCTGCTGCCATCTCAACACGAGACAACGCGTTTTGAGAGACAAAGTCATCGGTCGTGAAGAGGTGCGCGTCTGCTCATCTGTACTAGCGATAAGCATGTTGCCGCTAGGTCGTTCAGCTATGACTTTTAATCCGACACTCGCATTGCACTATCTAAAAAGGCCTGGGTAAGCGGGGGCAACTCAGCAGTTGCACACAGCGCTAGTTAGTGAATCATGGGTTTGCGGATCGTCGGACAAACTTTCGATACCGAAGGACAGAAATTCTGTACAGAGCGAATTAAAAGGAGGCGGCACCATCTTTTCACTCCCGTGTCTACGACACATATGCAGCCCTCCCCATCTTACGAAGGGAAAAAGCTCCACGTCACACCTTCTTTCCGGCCAGTCTTATAGTCCCCCCTCTCGCCCTTACAGCGCCGGCTGTTCCTTCGGGCCCGCTGGGATTCTCGGCCCTTCTCTCGCCCAGGAAACATGGCCACCTTCTCATTCGGAGCCTCCGGGCCGGATTCGATGTCTCCCGACAGTGACCAGCCAGGTTTCGCTCGGCGCCTCATTGCCTGCGTTGCGTGCCAGAAGCGGAAAGTCAAGTGCAGCCGGGTGATGATGATGATGATGATGTATTTAACGTCTGGTAACAAAAGGACGTGCCGGGCGCTATGCCGACATGGTCTATGCTAATCTAAACTATGTTACAGGCTACCGTCTTCACCTAACGTTCCTGTTCAATGACTCGGGCAAATTTCGGAAAAGAAATTGGTCTCCTCTATCCATTCGCTAGCCCCCATGATGATGATGGATCATATTGATCCCAAATGATCCTTATCTTATCATCACGTGACTTGTACCATAGTTCTTCCGTTCCGTGAGAGGGTGCCTTGTGTCCCCTTGTGCTGTGCACCCCGATAGTCTAGTGGTGAGGATATCTGCTTATCAACCGGGAATTTATCCCTAAGTCGATTCGCAGGGGACCGGGGTTCAATTCCCCGTCGAGGAGTTATTTTTAGCCTGTAACATAGTTTAGATTAGCATAGACCATGTCGGCATAGCGCCCGGCACGTCCTTTTGTTACCAGACGTTAAATACTCATCATCATCATCATCACCTTGTGCTGTGCATGTATGGCGTATCGTAACCGTCGTAAGCCTGCGGGGCAGGCCCTGTTCTTGGTCGTGCATGTTGGGTCGTAACACTAGAGCCTAAGAGCCTAGTAGATCGTCCGGTATAAAGTAAAAGGGGCATACTTCCTAGTAGCCGTTAGATCCTCTTTAGGGATACGGGCAAAGATTCGGAGGTCCTCCTTTAGTTAGGCCAGAGCCAGGGCCTGGGTCTGGGCCCGAGTCTGCGTCTGGCCTTGGGGCCGGGTTAGGTTTCGGATACGGGCCGGGGCTGAGGCCGCCACATCGGCCCAGTTCCGGCGCGGGGTCGGAGCCGCCGCCTCGCTACCTATAATCCTCTTTAAAGCTTAGATTATATAGGCTATCCCATCGAGTGCCACTTGACCCCATTTTCGCCAAGGGCGGGGTAGAGCCAATAAGGGGTTGTGAATCTATTGAGTTAACCAATAGGGGCATAGTACCTCAATTTCCTATATAATTTGGGTGTGCCAGAGGTTCCGGCACTCTCCATCAATACACAACGGTATATTATAATCTAAGCACCCCCTCCGTGTTTTCTTTCTTTTTTTAATGAGATTATTCCCAGATATCTCACCTAGGGTCTGGCGGGCCCTTAATGCCCTCAGATTACTACAATAAGAGCAAGGCGAATTAACCTTCCTCGACCCCTTCCTATGCTGTTCCCATGGAATAGAGGTATTCTTTTTATCTACAGCCCGTCTAGGCCGTGACCTCTGCCGTCCTTGTGCTAATGGTCCGAACTGCTGGATAAGCTGGGCTGTAAGCAGCTGCCCCTAGCGGTAGTGGGTTTTTACCTTCTGCTACCTAGGCTGCCCGAGAGCTGCAGTAAGAAGCTATTCACAACTACCAGTTCTAGTAGAAAATTCTAGGTAATTGACTGCTAGCCTCCTTAACAAATAGGGCAGCTATATTGATAATAGGACCTCATCTGGTTACTTATATTAACCCTATTCATCTTGTGGTTATATTTATTAATTGCCCGAGGGATTAGTAGGTTCTTGCGGACGTCTGGGCCAAAGACTTGTCGGGCAGCCCTCTTAGCAGTGGAATTCCCAGCTGGGCGGCGGCGGCTGCGGATAACTTCCTCGCCGTTCTGGAAGACAGTTGATAGAAATAGTACAAGGGCATTATCCTTCCAGGTAAACTGGTTAACCTATTTACTAGTTAGCTAGGTAGGTAGGCTGGCTAGGCTGGGCTAGGCTGGGCTGGGCTGGGCTGGGCTTGGCTAGGCTGCTAGCTTACCTCCCCATCTAAAGTAGGGATACAGTGTACTTCACCCCAGGGGATATCTCCTCCCTCAGTCTCTTTCTCTTTAACTAAGGTCTTATCTATCCCACTATCCTTCCGGCAAGTACCAGAAGCTCTAACCTGTTGGTTCCGTAAGGTACGAAAGAGACGTACAGAGGCGAAGAGATTGTCAAGAAATACGTGGTAGGTTGCAGCTGGAAGTAGTGAAATAAGCGTAGTTACTACCTGCTGCGTTGGTGTTAACAGAGCCAGCTTTCCAGCAGCTGGCCTAGCTGGCCGGGCCTGGGGGACTAATGCGTATGGGCCCTTTCCATGGACGTGCCACAGCCACCGTATACAGTAGCCAGACTGGGCAAGGATCCAGATCTTATAGCCAGTTGGGATAGGTTTCGTTGAAATCGTTGTCGTCTCAAGAGATCGACCTGTAAATCGGACCATAGCCTCCTCAACTGTAAGGTCTGAACCAGGTATATAAAGGGAATCCCCAGTCTCTTGGATGTGGGCTGACCACTGGTTAACTTTACGGTATACATCTGGCATTTGATCCTGGGCCCGGCCCTGGCCCCGGCCCCGGCCCCAGCTAGGCTGGCTGGGCCGGCTGGGCTGGAATTCCGCAGTGTTGAATATCCGTAGTCGCTGGAGTAGCAGTTGGAAACGGTCCCGGGACATAAACCGTGTAAATAGGTGGATAGGATCCTCCGTTTGCTGCTGGGTTGACCAATAGGTTGATAATCTAGACTCCCTATGAATCCCTATATATAATAGGATCCCTAGGAAGAGGTATATCTCGTCTGCTGAAGTCTGCCGCCATGAATTCGCTCTAGACGTTGTAGCCCTAGGGCCCTCCTTAGACAACGGCGCTGTATTCGTCCACTGGGCCCACTGCTCCACGAGGCTCTGCGGAACGTATTGGAGGAACAGTTCAAGCGGGCTTGCCGGCAGCCCCCGTATCTCTTGGGCCCGGGCCGGCACGTCAAGGGCCGGAAGGAGCCCGGAGGACCATGCTGAGTAGCCGGAGGTTCGTGGGGCCGGACTGTAGCTGCGTCACAGCGCTCGGGCGTACAGTCTGTAATACAGGCAGCAGTAAGGTCTTCTGGGTGGACCTCAACTACTATACAGCTGCGTATAGAAGTAATAGAAGCATTAGATGCAATAGAGGTATCAGAATCACCAGAAGACATAACAATATCAATCAAAATAGTAATAATAGTGATGATAATGGGCAAAAGAGCATAGGAATGAGTGACGTATCGTCAAGTACCCCTTTAAATGCGGGGTAATAAAGTGTAAATAGTGGGTACTTGGAGGTCTTGGCAAAATGAGGTGAGTTAGCACCCGATGGGATAGGCGTCAGGTTGGCTTCCCACAAGGCTGGGCCGGGGTGGCTGGGCCTCGGTACCGCGGCGGCGTTTAGCCCTAGAGGTTGAGGACGACTCCGGAGGGGGTCCAGAGCCTCGGTCAGGGCCGGCCGAGGAGGCCGGCAGCGGTCCAGAGTCCGCCGGAGGCTGCGAGGCCATCGCGGGAGGGCGCTGGGTGAGAGAGGTGAAGGATTTTCAGCTGTTAAGGGTTTTTGTGGTAGCCCACGTATTACACTAACAGTGGATGCCAAGAAAAATTAGGCGAGAGGGAAGTTGTGTGTTAGTGACATGGGCTGAACGCTTTGACAATTAAAAGAATAGAGCAAACTTACGAATTTGCTGAACACATTGGTCGCCATCATCTCAATCATGTCGTTCACCCACTCGGAGCTCAACCACGCGCCATCATCAAAATGATGCAGAATACAATCCCTCATGCCCTCTTCGCCAACTCGTGGAATTGTTTCTCCATTAATCACGGAATTCAGTGCAGTTTTGCAGTGATTCGAGATGCGAGAGAACATACTGCTGTAACTGTTGGTATACACGTCAGCAGGGCAACCGTACGGTTGGAACGAAGTGTCAATAATGGTCTATTATTGCTGCGTCTTGAGGTGGAAGGAGGAGATTGTGGGCAGAGCCCACGATCTCCCAGAAGTGGTATATAAGTGAAAGGGCCGTTTGTAAGTGCCCATACCGCCTTCCAGATCCATCTTTTCTGCCGACTGCTCAGAGATCCAACAGTAACTGTCTTTCAAGTTCTGCTGGAGCCCGGCGGGATCGACTTCAGGCACGTTTTCAGCGGTCGTGGCTGCAATAGCAATAACGCCAGCGAACAGCGTCATGGGGTTGACAAACCTGCCGAGGACACCCGCTCCTGTGCTCCCCGGCAGAGCGTCTGATATGGCCCCGCCAACGCCAGCAAGACTCGTGAAGAGACCGACCAGCATGTTGAGAATGGTATTGGTGTCGTCCTTGGGCGTGCCGAACTTGTTCACAATAGTAGTAATGTCACTCCCCAGAGCAGTGACGCTGTCGTTGACCATCATGCCCCAGAACTTGAATATGCCGTCATGCGTGTCGGCAATCTGCATGTGCACGTAAAACGCCTCGGGAGGATTGTACTCGGAGAAACTCTTGGCAGGGCCAGCGCAAGAAGTGAAGATATTCCCAAGAGTAACCTGCGTATTGAGAACTTTTGCCAGATAGTTTGCTGACCAGGTTCCCCGACTGTTTGTCTCGAACCACTTCGCCAGGCTGGCACCGGCACCCGACTTTTCCCAAATGTTTTTGAGCGTCAACTGCGTTGTTCCGAGGAAGGGGTACGCGCAGATTCCCTCCGGAACTTCGTCGTTGCCGCTGTCGGGGTCTTCAGGTCTCACGGGTAGATCTGGGTCGACAACGCCCTCGGGATCATCCCCCTCGACATTGCTGAGACCACAGGCGGGGCTGAAGGATGTCTCGGCGATGTCATTGATGAACTCGAGGATGTAATGCTCGTCCGCTCGGAAGTCGCCTGACAGATCCGTGTAGAAGAGACATGTTCCGGCAGCGAGACCTGCGTACGCCATCTCTGTCTGTTGACGCCAGTGGAACGCAGAACCCAGTGGTCTGCTGGCATCTTTGCCTTGGTTATACCAGACCCAAGTATCGCCCGAGAACTTCTCAATCCACAGGAGTTCGTCTCTTCCGTCGCCATTGACGTCAGCAAAGCGAAGCATGGCTCTGTCGTGGCCCTCGGCAACCTTGATCTGCCCGACCACCTTGAAGCGCCCATCGTCTTGATGCAGAAGTCCGGTGATGAATCCATCGGGGCGGATACAAAGGAAGTCGGCTGTCTTATTGCCAGTCAAATCTGCGAAGCGTAAAGCCACTGGTCTTTTTAGCATCAAACTTGTTTGGATGTAACACCGTGGATTTCCATAGTAAACTTACAGTCGTTGATTCCAACACCTCTTTTCTCACGACAGGGAAGGCTGGGCACGTCGCTGATCTCGGTGAATTGCCAAGACTTCGTCTTAGGGTACTCGTTGATGAATACCCTCAACCTGTTGGTGTTGGGGTTGACGTGGATGATATCGCATGCACCATCGCCGTCCCAGTCAGCGAGGTGCAAATCCAGCCGGTGCATGGCTGTAGGCGGCGTCCAGATGACACCGGGACTCCAGTCCCAGAAGCCTTCAGCGTCGTTGTCGGCGATGGCCTTCTTGCCTCGATTCTCAAAGAGCTCCATCTTGCCATTGGACCATGTCCATACATAGTCTGAACCGGCCATCGGCGTGACCAACCATGTTGCAATACTTGTTGCCGTCCATCTTGAGCTTGGAGGCGCCTCCGCCAGTGTTCTTCCACACGCGCATCTTGAAGCTGTGCATGCCGTTGCTAAGCTTCAAATGCTCGAGGAAGACATAGTCTTTCAGCGAGAGATTTCCAAAGGATGATGAACCACCGTAGACCCGGGCAAAGTGAACGCGTTTGCGGAGATCGGTCTCTTCCTTGGTGATGTAGCCAGGAAAACCCTTGTGCGTAGGCCCAGTGCCTTCTTTCTCGAAGAAGCCTTGACGCCAAGCGACGTTCAGACCATCGCCCTCTTTCTTCTTTTTGCAAGAGCGGCTGTTTGTGAAGGTGGTTGTAGCGTCTGTCTTGTCCGTCCAAAGCCAGTCGTCGCGACCCTTTTCATACTGTCAGCTTCAACGTGTGTGTAGTAAGGCTATGACATACATCTCCATTGATATCATGAAACTGAACGCCCTTGATATCTCTTGTGTACTGATCAGTCCAGCGTACACCCAAAGCCTGCCAGTACTTGGGCTTGTCCTCCAGCCATCCGTTTCGCCAGGCAGTCACAGTGCCTAGCTTGTCGATGACAAGGTAGTCGCCTCTTCCATCGCCGTCAATATCGGCCATGCGCACGTTGTCTCTGCTGGATGTTTCGGTGCTCTTGATCAGACCTAGATGGTAGAACGTCGGCGGCCTCAATCCTCTGCTGCCATCTCCATTGTTGATAGAGAGGTATGCGTTGCCCTTTTCATCGATACAGACCATATCGTCGAGGCCGTCGCCGTTCATGTCAATGAAGTGTTGACTACCCGCGTCGCAGTACATGCCAGGGTCAAAATCGGTCGAAAGCTTCGTAAACTCGCCCTTTCCATCTCCAGAGTTGGACCTGAGCCACGTTAGTCTCAAGAAGTTCGGACACGAAATAGAAGGATGCAATTCACCAAACGGCAAAAGTATTCTTGGCAGTGCCGGTTTTGACCCACGCAACGAAGTCATCGTACTTGTCCGAGAAGAGTCGAGCGAATCGCCACTGGTCACGGTCCCACTCGCTTTCGGTCGTCGACCAGATGATCTACTGCTGTTAGCTGAATCAACTTAATCATAGGATATGTTCGCATCCCTTACCCCCATCTCTTCGCTGTAATGACGGTAGACATCATCATCGTTGTCAGTACCTCTCTGCGTTTTACCACCCGGATTGAGGCCTGAGCCAGAAACCTTGTCGCAAACCGGATCAGCCACTTCAAAGTTTGTCGACGGCGGCATGACCTGCCCGAGGGCGACTGCCTTCAGGATGGCTCTATAGAAGATGTATGCCATCTTACGATGTCCTTCATCCTTTAGAAGTTGTGTTAGTGATACATAGCCAAGGATATGGGCCGGGAGCAGACCTACATTGGGATGCGTATGTGGATCCTCCTGGTCTTTGTAGTCCGCCCACTCAGGTTTTGCGTCTCCCGCTCGTATCCAGCCATGCTGAGGCCCTTCTTGTGTATCCATATCAGCCAGAACGATACTGTCGGAACGGCAAGGCTGATAAGGAGCAATGGGCAGGTATCGTGGGCTGGCTGGCGCCTGCCCTGGGCGAAGTGGGACAACTGGCTTAGTCACCACGGCCGGTTAAGGTGGGGCAACCACCCAGGCTGTCACCACCTACTTCGACCGACCCCTGCCCACAATGTAAATAGAAAGAAGAAGAACAACAACAGCAATTATCACGGACATCGACGTGATTGTTGCCGAAGATACATCCTCATGAGGAAACGTATCACGCCTGTGATACCAACAGATACATCTACCGTCCGCCGCTCGGTCATTGACCAGTCGTCGATACTCCTGATTCATGCCAATGCGGTTAACCTTGCCAGCTTCGTCTGAAGTGTCAAGAGTCGATAACATGACACAAGCGTTTCCCATGTCCTCGGAGTTCCAGATATCGTTGAGCATATCATTCATGCGACTATATACGCCGCCTGGGTCTATGGTTCGCACTGCGTCGTTCGTACCTCTGTTGATGATGATAATGTTTGCCTGTTTTGATGATCAGTAAGTAAGTAGTTGTATAATAACAATACAGCTGCCACAGACCTTGTATCCCAGCGCGTGCTGAAGTCGGGTTCGAAACTCGGTTAAAATATCTCCAGGGTTCGCTTCGTGATCCTAAGCTCATGTATTAGCCAGAATCTCACGATGCTCAGCTACTAGTGAGCTTACATTGTCTTTCATGGTCCCGGAGTTTCGGCCTCCAACCATATCAACCTCAAAGCCATCAAATCGAAGAGCATCCCTCAGAGGCTTTCTTAGACTACCAAATGTCAGCTCCATTGCTTCGTAGGGCTAAAAGTCTAAATCATTAACATACCCGTTGCCATTCGATGACCCGACACCGCTCATGATGGACGCACCAAGCGGCAAGATTCGCAAATCAGGCTTTTCCGCTCGCTCCGACAAAATGGGACCAAAGTCGGCGAAAGGGTGAGTCTCGACTATCGGGGAGTCATAGTTGCGAGGATCGTAGTTTGCAGGTAACGCAGAACACAGCCCGCCTAGGCTGGAGCCTGCGAGCAAGAGTCCCAGCCAATGCATCGTGAAAATTAACGAAAGTAAGATGATGACCGGAAGAAAGTGGTCCAAGGAGAATGAAAGCGTCACTTTTATATGCCTCTTCTCACCAAAGCCTGGGATGAAGTCGTTCGACTGTCTTCGACATCGTGAAGACCCCGAGCTCCAGTCACTTACACCGGCTACTTTCCTGCTGCCTAGCTAATCCACACGTTAGACTTAAATTTTAAGATTGAAGAACCAGAGTTTACTAGCCTAGACCCGGTAGAGTTTCCCCTTCGAGCACTTGTCAGCTTCGCATCGTGCAATCGCAGGGTCTGCGATCCCGATTACCCACTGTATTAAAGCCCATGGTAAGCAGTAGCAAGTGGGGGCTGCACCTCGGAAGGATTCTTCATATGCCAAAGCAATAACATGTCCATGCTTGATCCTCCTCATCCCGCGATCATGATCCTTCCAACATCGGCATCCTCAGAAAGCGTCACATCTGGATGCCACTGCGGGGGCTCTCCGAGTACGAAAACACTGTTGTCGGAGTAAGGTCCGTGAAAATGGTAGCACCCAGCAAGCCGGCAGGGATGGAATTCAGCCAAGCCATACGGCCCGTTGCGCTTGGCAGATTCCGAGTTTGACAGGGACCGGCAATAGCATGGGGGCGCCGTTGTAGTTGCTGCCTGCGGTGCTTGCCCACCTACGAAATCAGGTGATAAGCTCAAGGCATCATTTTGTTCGAGAAGGATTTTCTTTCATCTTGAGCGTTTAGATTTGATAGCTCGGAAAGCGATTTCTGTCTTTGCCTGATGTGCGATCGTTGTCCACACGGTCAGTCTCGCCTTCACCTTTCAATGCCTAAAGTCTGGGCCAGGTTGCTCGCCTGCCGAGGTCGTTAAAATCAACTCACTCTGACAAGGTATGGCCCATCGCACTTGAGATGATCTAGTGAAACCTACGAAATTCCGTCTTAACTACCAGGTGTCGACGCGGTGCTACCTAAGTTACATACTTGTGGTAAATAAGGCGTAATTGCTGGCCGGCAATTACGGATTCGTTTTTGTACGACAATACTAAAGTACAATGCAGTAAGAAAATAGCCGGTGTTCCGATCTGGAACATACAACTCAATAGTTCAACATTAACTCATGTCGACCTGGCATTCGTGGTCGGGTTGTGCCGCACTCCGAGAGCAAATTACCTATATTGCGAAGATAGGGCATCCAATCGCAGCTCACCTACCGCAGAACCAATCCATCCCCCGAACCAAGCTCAACGAAATCATAATCTGGCACTTTACCCTGCATCCTTGCCTCTTCGGCCTCAACAGCCTGTTTGAGGGTATACTGCGTACGCAAAAGCAGAGGGGCGATGAGCCCGCCACCCTTCTTGGCTTCGTCGTGCGTTGCAACCCAGTACCGAGCTCCAGTCTCTGCCACGGCTTGAATGCCATTCAGAGCTCCCAAATTTAATTGTTTCGTCATCCAAATGCGTACATCGTGAAGGCCATGAAGTAAAGCCAAAGTTGAGAGCCCGGACCTACGGACGCATTCCAGGTCTGCTGCTTGTATACCATGAGGGGAGTATAAAATAGTCTCCAGTTTCCCCGAGTCAAAGACGATCATAATTGCTGAGTGGTAATACAACGCGTTCCCTTCGGTGATGACACGCCCAATGCCGACCCATGGGGGAAGGCCGGAAATACTCAGATCAGACTTCCAATCTTTGGTTTCGGAGGAGAATCCAGGAGTGGTGGTGACGGAAGAAAAGTGACCCCATGACTGAATGAGGTCAGCAGCTTTATCGGTAGCAAACACTGGTGTTGACTTGGGGAGCTCTTCTAGCGTCGTCTGGTGACAATGATCGGTGAACTCATGCGAAATGACGACGACGTCGATGTATGACTTATCAGTGACTTTTGGCTTGTCTGAGTTGGCTTCAAACCCGGCGAGAATCGAGTTGAGTTGGTCCATGGTCTTCAGGCTGGGTTCGACAACGTGCCACTGTGTAGAGAACCATGACGCGACGTCGGATTGCGGCCCCTGCAACCACGGGTCGATGAGGACATTGAAGTGCTTTCGACCGGGAGGCGGGGCCAGTAACGGGGGATATGGCAACTGAATGAGCCATGTGGTGTCGGCATTGAGGTGGACGAGGACGGGCCGTTGAGCCCTCAGCGCTCCCAGCCAACCGGTTCGGTCGCTTACTTGGATCGTCATCGGTGCCGGTAATGTTTGCGATTTGTCTTGAATAGCTATCGGAATATCGCTGGGTTTGAGTTTTGTGGTAGAACTTTGAGGTTGAGATGTTCAAGATGCGGTTTTGATGGGATTTTGCCCGGCGCAATGGTCCCAGTTGATGTTGGATTGATGTCCTAAATAGGAAACAGCATGACGTAGTCGAGTCGCTCCGCCCCGGTGATCCGTTTCCAACTGTACTAACAATATCGCATCGTATTGCTAGCAGTTTTAATTCGTCACCAGCTTTGTTGCCTGTCTGCCAGAGTGGTGAGAAAGACAGCTTAACTCTATTACGCATCTACCTGATTTCCGTGACGATCTGCACAATTTCTAGAACCCATCTTTGATATCTTACACTTGTGACTACAGTCGCGACTCCAACAAGCTATCCTCGCTCTCGGACCCTCTCTAGAGACAACCTCATCGCACGGACTTGATAGTGACCATCAAGGGGTGCTTCTCCCAGAGAATGTAGGCCTTCTGGTCTGACCAATTCTCACTTTCCTGGCAAAGACTGAGGTCGAAGTTCCAGAGCGTTTTGGCCAGAATAAGCCTCATTTCGTGCCAAGCGAGACTAAATCAAGAACACTGCGGTCAGCGGACTGGAGCTCTTACACATCAGAGATGCAAGAGAACTTACTTAATTCCAATGCAGTTACGGGGGCCAATTGAGAATGGCTGCACCACATCTTTCGTGTTTGGCTCATAGTCCGGCCCAGGAATCCACCGCTCAGGAATGAATGCTTCGGGATCCTTGAAGTTGCGGGGCGAATGGTTCGCTGGGAACTGCGGGACTGAGACGCGAGTCTGGAATGGGAAGTTAGAAAAGGTCATGTAGGAAACAAGGGCTTGTATCGAAGAATTGCCCACCTTCTCAGGAATCCAGTGTCCTGCGACAGCGCTGCCACCCTCTGGAACTTCTCTCCAGACTCCAACAGGGACTGGGGGGTACCAGCGTAGTGCCTCATTGAGGACGGCCGTCATGTACGGCAACGCAGAAAGTCTCTGAATGTCCAACTCATCTTCAGACTCGACATCGCGGATCTCGCTCACAAGACGAGCCAGCTTGTCGGGGTTCCGGAGCAACAAATACGTGACACCACTGAGAATCGTTGCCGTGGTTTCGGATCCAGCGACCATGAAAACCGACGCATTGTTGTACATGTCAAACTTATCAATCTGTTTGCCTTCGGGCTAACTGAGAACCAGTTTCCAAATACCTGCCTGGTCAGTGTCCCTTTCAAGCCTGCGGTCGACTCGCTCAATGGCATGCTTAAAGGGCATGTCGGCGGCCTTCTTGAGCTTTGGTGGCGTGATCATGCGGATAACGGTGCCGAGCCATGTCCACTCACGACCGACTTGGGCGATCGCGTTGTTCTTCAGGTTGTCGAAAATATTGGCGACCCATCCCGAGTACTCCGAGTTGGCAAGGAGACCAAGCGATTCCCCGAATGCAAGCTCGGCCATGATATCGAATGTCGTCAAGTTATACAGCTTGACCATGTCAAACTTGGCGTCTGCATCTGTCTTGATGCCACGGCGGATGTTCGCCATGAGCTGATCCACGTACGACAGAATGAGGGGAGCCTGCGCCTTCAGACTTCTTTCCGAGAATGCTGGGGAAAACACTCTTCGGAGGCGACTATGGTCGGAGTCGGGCAATGTCGTGATCAGATTGCGGTGACCATTGGGATCGGTTCCGTACATGCGCGGATCTTTGGGGAAGCTCTTCTTGCCTCCCGTCTTGTGAGCATAGATGCCCTTCCAGGCCTGCCCGTTGATGATGCCGAGTCTGGAAGCTCAGATTCGTACAACATCGCCGTATTGCGCGTGCAGAGAACTGAGCCAGGCGAGCATTGCCCCTTTCGTCTGCACCGCCATGTATGGTATGTTTGAGCAGCGGGCATAGAGCGGACCGGGAAATTTGGCTAGAGGATGGAAGTACGCATTGTATACGGACTTGAAGACGAACCAAACGGGAATCTTTAATAAAGGGAATTCAGTTCTTGTTCTTAACATGCATATATTGCACAATCAGGGTTTGACTTACAAGAACCAATGCTGCAACAAACATTTGCGCCCGACTTGTCTCTGCCAAAATGTCCAAAGCCTTGGCCGAAAAGGTCGGCCAATCGGCCAGAGTCTTTCTTGCATCGAATTCCATGTCTTTTGATGGAGATGAACTGTGGTTGAGTTCCCCTATAATCCAGATAGAAGTGCTCGTGGCATACCATTTATATTAGCATTCTATCATCCTATGTACTTAGGGAAGGAGCGAAGTATTAGCCACTAGGAAACTTGCTAAAGTCCGTGACAAAGCGTTTCGCGATCATCAAAACTCCGCTGGGTACTAATTTCAGCCTTCCAACCCCGAATACTCGCATATTGTAACGGCATTGGCAGCGGGATGAACGATCCGGCCGTAGGATCGTCAGTGCCCCACTGTCTTCGGAGTCGGGTTCGGAGCGGACTGGAAAGGACCCACTCCCGACCAGATCTCGGAACAACTTTCCCGGAATCCCGGATAAATATTCACTTCCGGGCGTCCGCATAGGACAGGATCAGCGTTCCTCTTTTCGCAACGGGGGCCATTTTGTGCGCCGGAACGAGCCCTACGTACTCGCGTTTTTCCTAGTCCCCGGCACATGGTTGTTCTAGCATCCATCTAGTTGCAGCAGAAGGTCTTCACCGAGTAGGATCTGTAGTACTTGAGGGCTTCGGTCTTTCAGTGAGTAAGTAAAGACATGTAGATTCCAATACCTATTGGTCAATCAACCCATGCATCCCATGATTTCTATGTAGTAATGTACATGCTGCCGATCATCCCAAAGGACCGAGATGATAGATCACAGCCTCTAAGCCCGTGCGTACCTCCAGTGCCTCACAAAGCAGCTGGAAATACCGAGTCTCCTGATTGCTCTTCACTGGTCCTCTCGGTCATACTCTCCAAGAAAGACCATGCAGAAGTATCACAAAGCGAGGTAGCAAGTGGAAGACTTGTATGGTAGAAAGTGGCTTGATTCCTCTAAGTGGAAGACCCGTATGAGGGTCCTATCTATATACCGTACAAGACGGGTAATGGGCTTGTGGAAAGCGGTATCGTACGGCAGTAACCGGCAGCGCCACGTGTGGCGCTGCGACACACCCCCTCAGTCGCGCCCGTGTGGAACGAGGGCGCGGCTGCAATACGATATCGTCAGATTCCAAAACGATCTGTAGTGAATGCGGTAAGTACAAATGAAAAAGTAAATAGTCGTGGTTGTTGTGTTCCGTTATAATTGGCCCCTGGGTGTGCATGGCGATGCGTTCCGTACATCCTGTAGGTTGAGAAGTGCTCGGAAGTGTTCAAACTTCGCTCGTGGTAGGTTTTTCGTAAGTCCGTCTGCTGGCATATCATTCGTTGGCATGTAGACGACTTTGAAGCTGCCCGCTGCGTGCTCTTGTCGTAACCACATATTCTGGATATCGACGTGGCGGAGTCGGGTTGAGATACGTTCCCCTTCCCCTACTACGAGACGAATCGTTTGCTGATTATCACAGTACACGTTCCAGACGTCGCCGAGATCGAGGGTGATATCCCTGAAGAGCCTCTTGAGTGCCATCGTCTCTTTCGCAGTATGTTCGAGGGCCAGAAGCTCTGCTTCTGTCGTAGACGTAGTAACAGTACTTTGGCGCGTCGCCTTCCACTGGACGACTCCGCCGAAGAGGAGGAAGATGTATCCCTGTGAAGATCGACGAGTTGAGTCGTCAGCGAACGAAGCGTCACTTGCTGCGAGGAGGACATGAGCGCCGTCTTCCATTCCGTAGCGAATCGACAAGTACGCGGTGTGGTAGAGATATCTGACCACTCGTTTGGCAGCGCGGATGTGAGTTTCGCTTGGATTGGTAAGAAATCTTGACAGCAGAGATGCCGCGAAGGCGACGTCGGGTCGGATCATTATTGACGTATACAGGATTGATCCAACAATCTCTTGGTAGAGCTTCACTTCAGCCTTGGTCGCCGTTCCCTCGTTCGGTACGAAGTCGACCATCGGAAGAGGGGTGGCCGGTGCGAAAGCGTCGTCGAGACCGAACCTTGCTGCCATTGCTTTGATATACTGGTCGTGGCAGAGGTAGATGTGCCCGGCAGCACGATCTCTTGTGATACGAATGCCGAGATACGAGTTGGCTTCGCCCATGTCCTTCATCTCGTAGGTATTCTTCAGGCCGTCTATTATTGCATTCCCGAGGTGTTCGTCTTTCTTATGGTACATCACGAGGATGTCATCCACATAGAAGACGACGAATACCTTCGAGTCCGTCGTCCTGAAGATGCACGGGTCCTCCTTGCACTGGACGAGGCCTAGGCTGCGGAGGGTTGATGAGAACTCTGTGTACCATAGTTGGGGGGCATCCCTCAGTCCGTACAGAGCGCGTGTGAGGGTGGCCACCATGCCATGGAGTTTGTGCCCATCAGGCAATTCGCAAACGACTGGTTTGCCTGATGGGTCTCGTTTCGCGTTAAGGAAAGCGTTGATCACGTCGAGCAGCCTAAGCTCGAGGTCAAACTTCGCTGCGAGAGCGATGGTAACACGAAACGTACGCGCCGCAAGAGTTGCGGCGTATGTGTCTTCAAGGGGATCCTTTGGTTGGAGATCGCCTCTCACGCAAATTCTCGCTTTGCAGCGTGAGAGGTAGTTGTCTGTATCCCACTTGTATGAGAACACCCACTTGAGAGGGAGCGGTTTAGAGTCGCCCGCGTCCTCTCTTCGTACGACCTTCCAGGTGCCCTTTCGCTTCAGCTCGGCAATTTCTTCCCGTGCTGCTGCGAGGAACAACTGTTTGATGTCTTCTGGGAGCTTATGAAGCTCTCTCCAAGAGTTGGGAGGTCGTACGGCGTGGTCTCTATGGAGTCGAACGCCTAGTGGAGGCAGAGGTAGTCGGCATTCGATCCGTCTTATGGCAGCAATCACCATGGAGTGAAGGGTGAAGTGCCCGTATGAGGCTTCGTCTCGTGCTTGCTGCTGATCAGGCAGGAACATCGAGAGAATTGAGTCCTCGTATCGCTCGCCACGAAGGAGCGTGAAGAAGGCTTGAGTTGACGATTCACCCCCTGAGTCTACGGTGCGAGATTTCCGTTTGGGTTGGTCGACTATTCCGTGGAATCGTTGGGGAGGTCGTTTGACTCTTTCGCTTCTTCTTGTTGGGCCGCCGTCTGAGTGCGCGCGCTGCACGTCAGACGTCGAGTCTGGAGGTGGGATCTCGGTTCCGTCGCGTGGCCGCGCGAGGTCTTGAGAGGCTGACTCTTCCAGCTCGTTCTGTCGGGAGTGACCCGTCTCGTCGTCGGAAGGAGAGCTTCCGCGGACGTAAATTACATCTTCAACCAGTTCTTCTACGTGCCCTGGCTCCGACACGTCGAACTGGCCTTCGACGTCTTCTCCATCGCGAGGTCCCACTGCCCGTTCACTTTCGTGTTCGGGTACCTCGTTCAGTGAGAGATTTTCGGTCAACTCGGCGAGAGGTTGTACGTCCTCAGGGGCCGGTGTTGACTCGGGAGTTAGGAACCCTGTTTGCCCTCGTTCCGCCTGACCATCGTTCGAGCGGACAGCGTCCTGTACCGCTTTCTCTATTGGCAGGGGATGAGGGGCTTCAGCTTGCGGCTGTGAGGGTGTCGTGTTGGAGGTCAGTTGGATCGTTCTGATTACTCCGAGCATGTCGGCGAAGGCGTCGGCTACATGGTCCTCTTCTTGTATGACGGAGACCACGTTTTGTGCCTCGGTTTGTTGGATCGCTTCGCTGGCGTCGCTCTTCGTATAGAACTTCGTCTCGTCGAATCTGACGTTCCGTGTGATGACAACCCTTCGTAGCGCGGGCACCCAGATCCTGTAGAGGTTGTGCGCGTTCTGCACATACCCTACGAGGTATCCGATATGGGCGCGTGGTTCTACTTTGAATCTTCTTCTGTTAATCCCTCTCTCTCGTTCGCTCATGAGCGGGTACGCTCTACAGCCGTACGCGTAGGTCCAGCCCCAGTGTGGTCGCAGATCTCTTGTGAGCGCCGCTGCGTACGCTGGCGCCCACCACCGGAAGTACTGTCGGAACCAGAGTTCCTCTGTCTGAATTGGAGATATCCAATCGTTACGTTGGATTGGACTCGCATTGTATGTGTATATAGCTGCGAATCCGACTTCTGGCCACAGCTCGTATGGTAGACCAGACGAGTCTAGCATCTTGACGATCTTTGTGATGATCTCAAGGCCGGTTCGTTCGCCACTGCCGACAGGTTCCTTCGTGTTGGGTGGAGGTAGCTCGAGCTCAATCCCTTGGTCTGCTGCCCAACGTTCGTACTCTGTACTTCCCTTGATCCCAATAACCGCAGTTTCGTTGTCTGACCGAATCTTACAGATCTGGAGGCCTCGCTGTGTGCTGACCCATGCCTCAAAGCGTCTTAGGATGGTAAACACCTCGTCGTGGGTCTTCTTCGCGAGTGGGCTGCCGAAGATACGTCCGGAGTACTCGTCTCGGATGAGGAGGAGCCATTCAGAGCCGTCAAAGCCTCTGGTGAAGTCAAATAGGTCCCATGAGATGCGGTAGTACGGTCTCACTGAGCGTCGTTCTGACGTACGACGCGATATAACCTGGCTGGCGTGTGCTCTCGCGCAGTGCTCGCATTCAATACGAGTAGGACCACGGATTCTCACCCCCCGAGTGTTGGTGGCGAGGTGAGAGAGCGCTTCAGGGCCTAAATGTCCGGTACGAAGGTGCCAAAGCCAACCGTCATCTACGCGGTCCGGTGGAGGCTGACGGGAGGTACGGAACGAGGTTGAGAACACGTCGATTCGCGTTATTCCCGCGAGGCTGACTGGTGGTCTGTCACGTATCGTAGGGGACTGTGGACAGGGGGAGATCGGCTTGTATTGCAAGAAGACTAGGTTTCCTTCACGCTGGAGTTTGAGAATCGTGTTGTTCTGCTTCTCCATCGGTCCCCAGCGCAGCGAGCAGTCGAATCCCGTATACCAGAGACCGCTCTTTTGTCTAATCAGCCCTTCCGACGCGATGTTGACGTGGAATCCAGGCACATACGCGACGTCCTCAAGCACGAGGTCGATGCCGTTCAGTACGCCTTTCATCACGCGCGTGCCGTATCCCTCGATGGGGTACGCCGTCGTTCCGGACTCAACAAAGTGCGTGTCTCCTGGAGGCTTGAGAGAGCCTGGTTCGAGCAGGGATTTGTCGTTCACAAGATGGGTTCCTCCGCAATTATCCAGTACAGTAGATTCGCGCAGTGGGTGAGCGGGTTGAATCGGAGTCGAGAATACGCCAAGAGACGAACCTCGCACGAATGGGGTTGAGGCTACTAGGGATGAGGAAAAGTCGTTCCGTAAGATCGTAACTGCAACAAACTTTGTTGGCATGCTTTCGGTGGTAGATGACTCGCTCCCCTGTCCCTTGGTCCACCCCTTTGCTTTGATTGTCTTGCGAAGATCGGCCCAATGCCCCTTTTCGACCCGCTTTCTGATAGCCGCTCGAGTTTCGTCGCTCAGAGTTCCTCGGAATGCCGCTGACTTGCCGCGGTAGGCGTACTCGACGAATCCGCACTCGGCCGGGGTCCATGGGTGTACATTACGCTCGCAGGGGCACTTCTGGTTGGGTCTCTTGTTTGATCGCTCTGTCTGATTGCCAAGCGTTGCGTATGCCCCTGTCGCTTTACGGAGCTTCGGCGGGTCTGTCCGTAGGAGGTCTCCGAGAAGGTCCGCGTACTGCTTCAAGGTCAAACGGACTCCCGTCTGAAGGCGCTCCTGTTTGTGGATGTCGTTGAGCTCGCTGGTTGCCCAGGATGTGGCGATTCGCTGCTGGACGGCTCGCAAGAACGTCTTGACCGCGAGAGATCCCTCAACCTCTGGTATGGAATAGGCCTGTCCGTTCAGGAAGGCGCCGTACCACTCGTTTAGCCAGGTCATTGGGTCCACGGTCGACGCTGCGAGATCCATCGCCTTGAGGTATCGTTCGCGAGCGAGATCCATGGATACGTCTTTCGACGGAGCGAACCTGTCCTTGAGGGCCTGTATCGTCTGGCGTAGCTCAAGTTTCTTGTCTCCATTCCTGTCGGCGAGCTCAGCTCGGATGGGCTGGAGGATATCCGACGCGACGGTAGCCTCAACCCATGCTGACAGTAGGTTCAGATCGTTCTTTTGCTGCTTGAGATCTCCGTTTTCGATCGCTTGGCTCTGAATGAGGAGGACGTATTCGTTCACGATGTTGATATGACTCGTCTGGTGTGGAGGTGATCTAGCAGGTTCTGTATGGCCTGTCTTGTCTGCGAGTTGATCGTAGTCTGCTTTCGCCTTAAGGAATTCGGCTTCGGCTAGTACGTTGCGTTCCTGGACATAGCGGTCGATTGACGGAAGTAATCGTACTAAATTGATGCTGTCGGTGCCGTCGGGGTCGATATATTTCCAGACGGCTCGTTCGCGAGCCGAAATGCGAAGGGAATTCCACCACGGAAGCCAGTCCTCATTGATAGTCATAGGACTGTTGAGCTTCCTGGTGGTAGGGAGCGAGACTGTAGTCATTGTTGCGTGTACGATGGTTTCGTTTTGTACGAGAAGGGGTATGTGAGAGAGAGAGTAGGCACTTGCAGCCTGCTTCACAATAGTAGGGGTTTCTGTTGCTTGTGGTCAAGTCAGAGCTGGGCTCATAACTATCACAAAGCGAGGTAGCAAGTGGAAGACTTGTATGGTAGAAAGTGGCTTGATTCCTCTAAGTGGAAGACCCGTATGAGGGTCCTATCTATATACCGTACAAGACGGGTAATGGGCTTGTGGAAAGCGGTATCGTACGGCAGTAACCGGCAGCGCCACGTGTGGCGCTGCGACAAGAAGTTTCAAGATTGGGAAAATGGCTCCGACCAACGCCGATGTACGAAAACGGCGGCACCCCTTCAGCCTCTAATGCTTGTGCCTACATCTGCGTGTTAACTGGTATTGTTTCTTGGGGATTCAGCGAGCCTAGTGGATTGTATCCATTCCGTACAACGTTGTCCACACGTGCCCGTAGCTTGACGATATATTCTGGAGACTCTCCGGGGAAGCCAGATTTGGTGAGCAGATCTAATCTCTTTGACCACGCCCGGAGTACGAAATGCGCCAGAGTCGCGCAGGACTTGTCGGCAACATTGAAGAGCCCGGGTCGAAACCGGTAAAAGATTTCAATCTTTTCCCAGGCACGCTGTGCAATAGGCCCTTCGAGTCTTTGCCCTAACAACACCACGACGTATAGTATATCGTACTGGAAGTTGAAATCGGCGAACCAGAGGAACGCCGTATGCTCAAGCATTGAAACAGCCCACATGAAAGCATTGTCCTCTCCGCTCTGAATCACGGCGTCAGGTCTAGGTCTATCGCTAATGCTCTTGATCAAGTGCCGTTTCTGTGTGAGAAGAGCTGCGATCAGCCCCTGGGCCATGACGTGGATTTGCCCCGCGTGGGGGTTGCATCGGTTGTCCAAGATGTGCTGGAGATTCTGTTCCAACAGCTCGAAATGAGTAAGGTAGTAGCTCATCTGCTGTTCTCTTGTACCCCCTGCTACTGGAGGAGCACCAGCGGACTCGTTCAGCTCACCCATCATCTTGACGGGTTCAAGACCGGGCGTATCAACAAGGAACTTGGTGATCTTGTGCCGAACCAAACACAAAACCATCTCCGAGGGTCCGTCGCGGTCCGGTGTTGGTTGCGTCGCGGCCGGAAAGATGTCCGCGTCGTTCAAGTTGCTCGCCTCTCTTGCATCCCAGTCCCGAGGGAGCAGCGAGTGACCAAAGCCGGAGAATAAGGCAAACTTTGCGTCGAGTAATACCAGCTGCCACCATACCCTGCGCCTCATCTCTGATTCAAAGGGTTTGAGGCCAAGCACGTCTCCGTCTCGGTGAAGACCCATCTTTTGTGCAATCCGTATAACAGTGCCGCTGAAGACCCATGAGCTGTGGCGGTCGTATCGGTCCTGCAATGAGTACTGCCGATAACGTCAGCATATCACGCCAGCTTTTTGGGGTGTAGGGTCATAGTTACCGTACTTACCAAGTACAGGCAGAGTGACTGTAGAATGATTAGGTCGTTAGTCCGCATGAAGTCAAGGCGCCTCATTGTTTGACGGATGCCAGCAGAGAATGACGCCACAGCAGCTTCTTTGGACTGCTTCAGCGCGACTAAGCATTCCTCTTCCGACATGGCAACCACTGCCATCAGAAAGATGGACAGCAGCAGCGCCATGATGTTTTCTGGCAGACCTTGAGTACCATTCGTAGCTTCCACGACATAGGGTTGAAAGCTGTGAATATGAATAACCTTTGTGAAAGGATTAGCTCGGTCAAAGAAAATCTGCCACAGCTTGAAGACGAGTGCGGCATCGGGCCATGCATCGAAGACTGAGGAACCAGGGGCGTCCTCCCCTAGAATAAGATCTGCGTTTGGATCGGAAGGCCTGCTGTCAAGTGGGCTGCTGCGTTCATCCTCGTCTAGGCTTATGAGTTCATCCATGGCTCGGAGCTGCAGTGAGGTAAGTCATGTCAGTGGTTTGGTGAGGAACTATATGTGTAGAGAATGACGTACCTCTTCATTAACCAACCCCAGGAGGTAGTTGTCCATAAAAGCGAGCTTGCCATTTGGATCTTCTACCAACTTTCCTTCCGGAGTCCATTTGGAGACCGGGGAAGGGTCCGCCGGACTTTGAGACTGCGACGTCTTTGGCGTGGTAACAGTATTCGGGGAAGCAATTGACGATGATGCTTGGCCACTCAAGAGCTGCTGGCAACGGGCTAAGCGTGCTTTAAGAGCCTGATTGTAAGGCTTCCTGCCTCGTGGAGGAGCTGGTGTCCCAGTGTGGAGGCAATACTACTATATTGGATCTGATGATGATCATGGGAAAAGCTGAGCGCTGGCTGGGCTGGATATCTGATAATGATGATGATGTATTTAACGTCTGGTAACAAAAGGACGTGCCGGGCGCTATACCGACATAGTCTATACTAATCTAAACTATATTACAAGCTACCGTCTTTACCTAACGTTCCTATTTAATAACTCGGGCAAATTTCAGAAAAGAAACTAGTCTCCTTAATCTATTTGCATAAAAAAGAGGCTCCCCTAGCAGAACCTAATAAGAAATTAATATTTACTTTGGCTAACGTACATGATAAGCGAGTGGGCCACCCATCCGCCATCGTGCCACCTACATCATCACAACACGCATTTCTCCATCGAAAACAATGACAGTACATAACAAAGATACACGATTAAACTTAGCGGTTCAGGCTACCCAGAAAGACCGAAATCTCAGTATTCAGGCCGCGGCAAAGATCTATAACATCAGTCGCGTTACCTTAGGCCGCAGATTAGAGGGAACGTTATCACTACGTGATAGCATACCCAACTCACGGAATTTGACGCTGCTAGAAGAGAAGAAGCTGATTGAGTACATCCTCGACCTGGACGCTAGATGTTTTCCTCCCCGTCTTCTCGGTGTTGAAGAAATGGCGAATCGATTGCTCGCTGATCGTGACGCGCCCCCTGTTGGGAAGCGATGGGCTTCGAACTTTGTAAAGCGATAACCAGAGTTGCGAACGCGTCGTTTTCGTAAGTACGACTATAAGAGGGCCCAATGAGAAGATCCGGCCGCGATTAACGCGTGGTTCTTGCTTGTGGCGAACACAATCGCGAAGTACGGCATCGTAGACTCAGACATCTACAACTTTGACGAGACTGGCTTTATGATGGGCCAGATCTCAACCGGCATGGTCGTGACCAGTGCCGAAAGGCGTTCAAACACGAAAATGATGCAGCCTGGCAATCGTGAATGGGTTACGGTCATTCAGGCCATCAGCCCGTCGGGCTACAGCGTTCCGCCGTACATCATCGTTACGGGCCAATATCACCTCTCCACCTAATACACGGAATCCGGTCTCCCACACGACTAGGTCATCGCAACATCTGAAAATAGATGGATAACAAATGAAAGAGGTCTAGACTGGGCCCGGCACTTCGAACGGCATACAAGACCGCATATAAAAGGTCAATACCGCCTCCTCGTCGTCGACAGATACGAAAGTCACCACTCCGCAGATTTCGAGATTTTTTATAAAAAGAACAATATCGTTACCCTATATATGCCGGCTTATTCGTCTCATCTACTCCAGCCCTTGGATATTATATGTTTTGGGCCTTTAAAAACGGCGTATGGTCGAGAAATCGAGGACAAGATACGTCGGGGCAATACGCATATTACCAAGGAGGACTTCTTCCCGGCGTTTTATAGGGCTTTTACGTAAGCGATTACGGAGAAAAACATCTAGGGAGGATTCAGAGGGGCAGGAATTGTGCCTTTGAGTGCAGAGAGTGTGCTCTCAGAGCTTAATATGAAGTTACGTACTCCGACGCCTCCAGGATCCCTCCCGACAACACCACCGGTATAGACTTCTTAAACACTAAATAACCTAACGGAAGCATCTTCTTAGTTAGAACTCATCAAGAATCGAATCTCCCGTCATCAAAACAGCTTACTAACTTTAATTATCGAAGCTATAGAGTATCTATCTAAGGGGGCTCGTAGATTCATATACTAGATCGCCTTATTAAGATCCGAGAACTAGATCCTTCGAGAGGAGAATAACCTACTTAGTCGACGCCGGAGAGTTAAGAAAAACCGTCTCCGATAAGGAGGAAGCCTTACTATAGCTGAGGGAGAGGACCTTTAGTCGTAGAGAGAGGCTATAGCCCAGGTGGAGGAGGAAACGCGCCGGAGTAGTGGTCGCCGACCGAGGACTGAGACGGGCTAACGACGATGTGGCGTCTGCGGGAACACTGGTCACAATGCGCGAACATGTCGATTCAATGAGGAAATGTCTGAGGAAGAGGACTCTGAATAGTTTGGATTGAATCCATGAGGTGGGTGTTGATATTTGCTCCTTCATGTCATGTGGTCGTGGTTGGGTGGCCCACTCGCTTATCATGTACGTTATACGTTAGCGGAGGTAGTGCGGTATAGCTTTACGTCCATACTTGTAGAAATAGAAATAGACTGGTGTCTTAGGTTTCCCATAGCTGTAGTTAAGCAACGCATCTTAATGAGCGAATCTCTCGTGGTATACTATAAAGTCTCTATAATAGGATTTTACTACGTATCCCATCGGGTGCCAGTGGACTACAGTACTTTTGGGGCCACTTTTGGAGCCACTTTTTCTCCGCACCACATCAGTACATCGAGATACGTCACTTACCCCTATGATTTTATCACCAAAATCATCACTTTACTACATGTTATGATAGATTCAGACGATTCTGACGCGTCTACGACCTCCGTACGATCATGTATTCACGTCGCCGTAACCCCAGAAGACCTCGAAGTCGCCTGTACTACCGATTGTACGCCCGAGACCTGTGATGGGGCTACATACCGACCTTATAAGTCAAACCCCCCACTTCCTGGCACCCCCCTGTTTCTGGCACCCACAAAAACGCGAAAATCCACCACAACCCAATGCCCACCCCCAACCTCCTTTTATCACAACATTTTCAATTCGCGTCCAAATGGGATCATCTTTTGCACATACCTTCTTCTATATCTAATGCCTCAATATACCGAAGATCAGCTTCGTCAGGCTCTCGAGGACATCTCAAACGGCAAGAGTCAAAAGAGAGCCTCATTGGAGTATGGGATACCACGATCAACCCTCCAACTACGTCTCCAAGGTGGTCAGACTAGGAAACTGGCTTTTGCTGACTGGCAGAGGCTGTCTCCTGACCAGGAGAGTAAGCTGGCACAATGGGTTCGCATTCAGGCTTCGCTGGGCCTCGCACCAACGCACCAACAGGTGAAGGAATTCGCAGAGCGAGTTCTGGCTGCTGCTGGGGATACCAAACCACTGGGAAAAGGCTGGATCTATGCCTTTGTGAGAAGGAACCCTATCATTAAGGTTCAGAGAAGTCGTTCTATCGATTCTAGACGCGTTAATGGGGCATCTACTGAGGTCATTAGGAACTGGTTTAAGTTCCTTGCTATCCCTGAGATCAAGGACATCAAACCAGCCAACAGATATAATATGGATGAGACTGGCATCCTCGAGGGTCAAGGAGCTAATGGGTTAGTGCTGGGTATGGCTGAGACGACGTCTGTTCGCAAGAAACAACCTGGGTCGAGGGCATGGGTCTCTATCATTGAGTGTATCTCAGCCTTGGGTAGGGCACTTCGTCCTCTTATCATTTTCAAGGGGAAGACAGTCCAACAGCAGTGGTTTCCATTACATCTCGTTCCATACGATGGGTGGGAGTTCACAGCAACAGATAATGGCTGGACTACAGACTTAACTGCCATTGAATGGTTAGAGAAGGTGTTCATCCCACAGACTATGCCTGAGGCTGAGGGGGAGGCTCGACTGCTGATTGTGGATGGGCATGGGAGTCATACGACGACAGACTTCATGTGGAATTGCTATATTAACAATATCCATTTACTGTTCTTACCACCACACTCCTCTCATGTCCTCCAGCCTCTTGACCAGTCTGTCTTCAGCCCTGTTAAGTCAGCCTATCGGAAGGAGCTCGGTTACTTGTCTCAATGGAACGACTCTACCATTATAGGTAAAAGGAACTTCCTGGACTGTTACCAGAAGGCTCGACTTGCTGGTCCTATCAGTCTCGAACATCAGAAGTGGTTGGAAGTGGACTGGTCTACACCCTGTGGCGATGGTTAAGCCCCTGATGAACCCTATGGTACTACCTGAGCCTCCTGCTAAGCCCACCACACCCAAACCAACTAGTCAGGGCAGAAAGCGATGCCATAATGGTCAACAAACTACCCCTGTTGAGCCATGGGATTCTGCCTCCTCTGCAGTGGTCTGGTCGACACCCAGGAAGCTGGCAGAGCTCAGCGGTCAATTGCACTTATACACCCAACTCGACAATGATACTAGCACTCAACGGCTGCTGTTCAGGAAGGTGAAAAAGGCTTCACAGAGCAGGCCTGGCAACTGGCAGCTGCCCAGCAGCAACTAGCTCACCTGAGGGCTCAAGTTACCAACGCTGCAGTGAGGAAGAGGAAGACTGTTCAAATCGATCCCAACACGAAGTTCGCGAACATCAGGAATATCCATCGGGCTCAAATCGAAGCGGGTGAAAAGGAGGCTATCACGGCTTGAATCCAGCGACTCTGAATGCCCTAGTGAGGCTGGCAGCTGTATTGTAGTGGGTGTGGTTGAGGATCAATAGTTAATAGTAATGAGGAGGTCGGGTTGTGATCCCATCGTTTTTGTGGTGCCAGAAACAGGGGGGTGCCAGTAAGTGGGGGGTTTGACTTATAGTATATAGCTAGAGCCTGCGACCCTTCACGCCACATACCCTCCGGAAGGTCTGCCGCAAGGGCGGCTGCGCCCTTGCCGCCATGGCGTTAAATAGAACAACAACAACAACAACAATATAAGTGTTGGAATAGGCCTACATTAGGCAGCAGGAGGTTGCTGCCGCGGTCCGTTCTAGCCACGGTGGTCCGTGTGGCTCAGCCACACGAGGGTGGTATACCCCAGACTTCCTGCCGCCGCTGGCACCTGGTTAGACTTCCACTCAACAACAACAAGAACAAGCAATATCACCACTACAGTCGGTGATCGTTGCTACCCACGATACTCGAGTATTTTCCTTTTCCACCTGTGAATCCAACAATAAGTAACTTCAAAATATATAACTACATAAAGTATAATAAACTTGAACTTGATTATCAAGAAGAGAATTAATCTATCTTATTAAGTAGATTGATTTGACTGTGCAGCCTGTTTTCCACTGTCAGTGGCAGGCACCGGGACTTATATAATCTAGTACGCTCAGCACTGCAATATGCCCGATCGCGCCTGGCTGTAGGAAATCGTACATTGCGACCGCGGGAAAACGTAATTTTGGTATTGGGGCGGAAGGTAGTAATCACAGAGAGACAAAGTGATAAAAGCGGTGCTGCCGGCTGCTCGCAGTGACACACGGTCAATTTAGCCAGACTGCAGAGTCAAATTGACCTCATTCCATATTATATTCTTACTTTGATACAGTGAAGTAGTCCAATGTTACTATATAGATTCTTAGTGGCAAACTATGTTGTTTACTGACCCCACGAGTCAATGAGCACTAATAGCTATACCATCATCCGCACATAGAGTCGAGTTATTGTAACTCAAAGTAAACTTTCGAGATATCTGTAGTGTGCTACGCAGTTATACTGTTCCGTGAGCACTGTGCCAGACCCTTCAAGCCATTCATCGCCTATGCACATCAGTGAGAAAATGGATATGATGACCGACAGCAAAGTTAACACACCTTTCGCGACAAGCCTGTCAACGTTTGCCTTGGATGAGGAGGTGCGACCGCCATAGACCAGCCTATGTGAGTATCGTATTAGCATGTGCCTCGAAGGATTATTATATGATGTATGCTTACTTCTGGTTCTCGTAAGGAGTATAATCGTGGCTCGCCTGGCAAAATCCATCTGATAAAAGCCTAATATGGATGTAGGTAGCTTTGAACTTCTTTAAAATTCTGGCCGTCTTGCCAACGACGAGTCCGACATGGTTGCATCCGTGTTCTGACATTGCCCACTGCCCAAGAGAAGTCGTTGGCTGGTACCAGTCGGGTGCGATGGCGCAGTTCATGAAGTAATAGTAGGTGTTGGAACTGAGCGAGCCTCCGGCGACCCTCGCTGCCTCTTGATAAGCATCGGAAGAGTCACGGCTCAGTAATCGAGCCAAACTACCCCCATCGGTGGCTGAATCGGCGGTGGGATCGCGCACTTGCACTGCATTGTCATTCGAAGCCGTAGCGACGAGACTAGCAATTGCAGCGGTGCAGTAGGTAAACAGAAGCAAAAATTTCATGGCTGCTCTAAGAGACTAGCCGTGGCGTTTGATAACGATGTGAGGAAGTAGCGGAGTGATATTGCGACTCTTCATCTTTAATAGACTCTGTAAATCGATTGCGAGAAGAGAGGCTGACTTAACGTAGGCAAGGAGCTCATCTCAGTCTCACTTCATGACGGAGTCGCCGTTGTTCGTTGGAAATTTTCTATAACCAAAATTAATACCATAACTTATTTGAGTTCAACTTCAACTATCCGGTTTTAAATCAACCTGAACTTTGAAGCAATGAGGCTGCGAGGCATTACTGTGGGATGTATTTCGCCGAGTTACCCAGCGTCTAGCTCTAGTTCTTAATGGCCGTGCCCTCTGAACACAAAGCTTGTGCTCCGTAGGTACTTTGTCTGCCGATCCACAACGCCAAGTTCGTAATAAAATTGTAAATTTGGACTTACTCGTGCATAGGAATCGTTCTATCCGTAGTGGTCGGCCTACCCGCAACATAGAGGTTGGTGTGATTGACCAAATCTGTGGTTCAAATAAGAGGTCTAACGATGATCTGACAGAGTAATCCATCATCCCAAATTATGTTTATTATATGAAGGGTTACAGTCGTTCTTTTGGTCAGCCATAATTCACTAATACTCTTTACCCTTCTCCTATTCTTTCGATTACTTGCCACGGTCTCAACTATGTCTCGCCGTGTATTATTCTCTCTTCTCGCGCCGCTACTTGTCAACGCCGCACTGCTACCGAGAGGTGGTGATGTTGCGGTCGGCGACAAATGGAAGAACCACAACGATATCAAGCCTCTTCCTGCGCTTCCGGATGACGACATCATGGGTGATTTAGAAGTCCAATACTCACCATTTCTTTTCTCCTGGCATGGATGCATCCCTTACGCCGCTGTGGACGCCGATGGCTACGCTGGGTAAGTGCTGACCCTGGGCTGGATATCCTCAACTAACCCACGACAGTTCTGGACTAAAGCCCACTGGCAAGTCTGGTGGCGATTGCCGCGACTTTGGACAGTCTGGTCAAACTTACGCGAGGGTTGGAGAGTCCCACGACCGCTGGGCCATTATGTACAGTGACGGTTAGTCAGGGTGGCCAGCGGAATATGCATATGTGAGTGAGCAGAAAAGAGCGTCTATTCGTACTAAAGAGTGGATGGAATCACCACAGGCTTGTGGGCCTAATGCTATCCTAATAAGTCTTGCAGAGCTAGGACCAGGTGGAAATGACAGTCTGGCCTGTTTCGTGATGGTCAGACCATTCCGAATGGGTTATGTCCATGACTCGCGTAGAAGCATGCATGGATTCTGTCACACCCCCTCAGAGAGGCAACTGTTAAGTTGTGTCTCTGGATAAAGCAGAGCTATTGATAACTGATGATCAACGAGAGCGACAGAAGGTAGGGTAATGTAGTGTTGAAGACCAAAAATTGGTATTTCCCTTCTTTGAATTGTGTGGTGTTGTGACCACTACTGATCCAACCTGCAGATCATCCTTTGATAAGGAGGAGATTGCTCTCCTATGTTGCTTGCACTAACTCGGCTTCTTTGAGAGCGTTAACGTGTTGCTCAACATTTGCTATACCTAGCTGGGCTAGAAATCGGCTATGCTTTTGAGCTGGCAGTGGTTTTGTAAGTCCATCTGCAACCATCTCGTTGGTCTTGATCCAATTGAAGTTTATGAGACCATCACTGACTTCTTGGCGAAGCCATAGGTTGTTGATGTTGATGTGACGAAGTTTGCTAGTCGCTTGAGGTCTCTCAGTGGTCAGGATTCTTAGGGTCGCTTGATTGTCGCATTGGAGATAGAAGTCACTATCGAGATCAAGTTGAAGTTGATCGATAAGTCGGATAGTAGCCCTGTATTCCTTTGCTGCTTGAGTGAGGGCAACTAGCTCAGCTTCTGTACTAGAAGTGACGACGCGACGTTGTTTAGATGAGCTCCAGCTGATAGGACCACCAAACATCATCATCACATATCCCTGGGTGCTCTTGCGAGTGTCGACGTCATCAGCAAAAGAGGCGTCTGAGGCGCAGAAGAGAGTTCCTGGCCCTTGGGAGTTGTATTCAATTGCAAGATAACGCGTGTGGTAGAGGTAGTCAAGGCAAGAGTCGGCTGCCTTCTTGTGACTAGCTGATGGATTGACGAGGAATTCAGAGAGCCTGGACGTAGTTCTGGAGATATCTGGTCTACTGATGACTGCTGCATAGTTGAGGGATCCAATAAGTCGCTGGTAGTGACGAACTTCAGCAGTAGTTGCTTCCTGATCATTAGGAACCAGATTATCAGTGCCCATTGGTGTTCCTGTTGGCTTCTTCCTTTTGTTGGCTCCGAATTCGTCGCAGATCTTAGCGATGTAATCATCAAGACTGAGCCAAAGCTTGCTAGCCTTGCGGTCTCTGATGACTCTTATACCCAGGAAAACACTCATTTCTCCCATGATCTTCATCTCATAGATCTCTTTAAGTCCTTTGACGACTTGCTGGGCTTTCTGTTCGTTCTTCTTGCGATAGATGATTGCAATATCGTCAACAAAGAAGAAGACCAGGACTCCCTTACCGATGAAGATACAGTCGTCTTCGTCAAGGGGAGAGAGACTAAGTCTCTTGAGTGTGTCTGAGAGGCTCTTTTGCCATAAGAGAGGGCTTCTTCTAAGACCATAGAGGGCCTTGCGAAGAATGAGGCAGGATCTTGGCCTATTATAGCCTGGAGGGAACCAGACATAGACCAGTTCGTCAAGGACGGCGTTAGTAAACGCATTTACAGCATCAAGCTGTAAGGTTTCCAAGTTGAACCGAGCCACAAGGGCCATTACGCTGCGAAATGATCTTCCAGCGAGTGTTGATGCATAGGTTTCTAACCCATTGAGTGGCTGGAGGTCTCCTCTCACACAGATCCTTGCTTTGAATCGCTTGAGAAATCCATGCTTGTTGAACTTGTAGGTATATACCCATTTGAGAGGAAGAATTCGATGGATCTTCTGATTGACGTCTTCCAGTCTGGTAAGCTCAAAGGTGCCCTTCTTCCAGACTGTTCGATATTCCACGTTCATTGCTGCCAGCCACTTAGGCCAGAACTTGTGCTCTTTTGCCTCGGAGTATTTCAGGGGAGGTGAAGGGAGGTCTCTGCGATGGATTTGACCTAGATCATGAGCGAAGTCGTCCCATCTATCCTTTTCCTTGGTTGAATCTGTCAACTGGAAGAAGGAAGATCTGATTGATGAAGATCTATCCTTAAGTCGGCGAGAGGATCTTGTAGCTGCCTCTGGTTGATGATTAGTTTGACCAATTGGCGTTTCTCGATTGTAAATAGAGTTATTGCGACTTCCTCTTGGTCGTCCTTTTGGTCTCCCTGTACCTATAGTAGGAGGTGGAGCATCCGAAGAATCAGCGACGTGGATTGTTGACTCAGCGGTCGTTGCTGAAGAAGATAATGATAAGACGGAGGGCGAGCGATCCTGAGTTGCAGTCTCCGGAGTGGGTGACTCTTCATGGGTTGTTGACTCAGGAGTAGGAGGGTCCTGAATGAGAGGTTGATCTGAGTATGAAGTTGTTTGTGGTAACAGCTGTTGAGTAACTGTCTCTTCTTCTGGGTCTGTATAGGTTAAACCATACTCTTCCACCCCCTCAACTGAAGGAGTGTGTGACTCGTGAAGTTGTGTTCCTGGAGAACCAGTAGGAGTAGGCAGTTGAGGCTCTCGCTGTTGGTCGAAGCACTGTTCCCTGACATCCCTTGGTCCAACTGCAGTAGCCGGCTGGAGATCTTCGTCATTCCATAGTCGTGAATCCATGGGGAGATCTTCACTCTGAGGATCAGGAATCGGAATCTCCAGAATAGAGAAGACTCTCTCTAGCTCCGTTCGATGAAAGAGACTGGTATCCTCCTTGCTGGGGTCGTACAGCTTTGTTTCGTCAAATGTGACATCCCTAGTCCTCATGACCTTGTTGATAGCTGGGATCCAGATGCGATAGATATTGGTACTATCGTAGCCGCAGAGATACCCCACATGGGCTCTGGGCTCAGTCTTGTTTGCCTTCTCTTCCCCCCTCAGATAGGTCGTAGTGAGAGGGTAGGCCTTACAGCCGTATCGCCGTAGATGGGCAAGTTGAGGAAACTCAGCCCTTTGATGGGTTGACCATGGCCTAGAGTTGAGCCAAGTGTTCATTAATCCTTCTGGGGTTTGCCAGCCATGTCTCTTGCGAGGCATTCTATTGCTGAGGTAGTTGGCCGCTCTCACCAGTTCGGGAGATAATTCCTCTGGGAACCGTGATTGATATCGTAGAGCCCTGGTGATCTTGAAGATGATCTCACCAGCCTTTTCTGCTGGATTTTGAGCCCCAGTGTATGTAGCAGATCGCTCAATAAGCTTGCCGTTATCCGCTGCCCATAGGTCGAAGGCATTGCGAAGAGCTGTTTCCCAATCAAGGCGAAGTATTGAGAAACTGAAGTGGTATTGTTTTTCAAGAAATGTGGCAATCTGGGTGATCGCCTGTAGTCCCTCCTTACGAGACTTAAGAAAGCGAACCCATGTGAATCCACTCCATTCGTCCCTTATGAGAAGGACGACCTTTTCCCCGTTATAGGTCCTTCTTATTGTAAAGAAGTCTATGGAGATATAGTCCCCTGGGGCGGTTGGATTGTGGTCAGGCTTCCTCCTTGAGACTTTACGAATAGCCTTGCCTGTGCTGCAGGCCTCGCAGTCAATGGTTGTCACCCCCTGAATCTTGATTCCTCGGCTAGTCTTGAGCAGATTCTCAAGAGATGCGGCGCTAGGGTGACCGAGACGCTCATGCCATAGCATGGCCTCTGCCTTAGAGGGCGAGAGAGGATCCCGTGAGTTAGGTTGTCCGCGCTTGGTTGCTGTCTGGGCGTCTATAGGATCGAAGCTGACATGCTTATTAGAGCTCGTGGTCGCTGGAACTAGCGAAGTGTCGTTGTTGAAAGAGGAGGCTTGATCGACAGTTGAGTCAATACCATTGTACTCCAGGAGATATTGGCCATGTTTCCAAGGTGTGTGGTACAGGACCTCTCCTGTTCTATTTTCAAATCCTGGATGGCGATTCGTGAAGATGAGACCTTTCTCCTTCATAGGCTGAGCCCCGAGGAGAGTCACCGGGTAGTCTGGGCAATACCAGGCATCCCGTACTGTAAATCCCTTCTTCCTAAGACCTCCTTGATTAGGGCGTATTTTCATCGTCCCTCGAGCGATAGCTGTCATTCTCCCTCCTCCAGTAGTGAACTCTGTTGACTGGCTGAAGTCTAGATCCTTCATTCTTGAGCGATCGTTGCAGATGTGGAATCCAGTCCCAGAGTCGACGATAACACTGTTCCGGAGTGGAAAGCCAGCGTAGAGACTAATTGCTGGAGCTTTCTTTGGGGCAGTGAAGAAGGATGAGGACTCAGAGCTGTGATCGGTGTCCCTATCGGAGTCTGACTGCTCTTGGTTGAAGTAGGAAGAACGCTGACCTGGGTTCTCCTTGTCCGACAGAGAGGAAGACTGAGTAGCCAGATTGTCTGACGAGGATGACGAGGAGATTTTAGCGTTGTTGAGTCGCTCCTGTGCCTTTGGGTGCTTCTGAAGCCAGGCCTGACCCCGTTCAATAGCCTTCTTAGTCTGAGGATGGTTTGGGTCGTAACTAGACTTCCTTTTCTCCGGGTTGCAGTGAGGACAGTCAGAGACCCAATGCTTCACCGAGCCAGGACAAGCGGGACACTTAGGAACAGGCGTCTCGTTCCTTCTTCTTTGTGATTCTGTAGAGTTGCCCTTTTCATCTTCTCCTTGCCAAGTAGCAAAACTGGAGGGTTTGGCGTCTTTGAATAGCCAGTCTGGATGGAAGGACCTGACCCATTGACGAAAGAAGTTGGCTTATTGAATTCCAGCACATTTCTCTCCGGCCTTAGGAGGCTTCCCAATGTTGGTCTGATTGAAGGTGAAAGTAGCAGTCGTATAGTAGCTAGGAGCGAGGGGCTCGACCGCTTTGAGGAAATCAGCGACTTGAGTAGTTGGGTCAAGAAGAGCTGGAAGTGCGACATCAACGACTTCATCCATGATGTCAATGTAGTTGCTGAGCCAATCAGACAGCTTGGATCGCTTGACTGAGCCCATGTGGGCTTGATAGCGACGAAGAATGAGCTGCTGTCTTGCGTAGTTATCCGGAGCTAGCTCATCTCTAAGAGCAATAATCATGTCTCTTAGATTTTCTTTATTACTGACGTGGTTGATGTACTGGGCCTCAACTGTGGAGGTAACCCAGGAAAGAACGGCAATAGTGCCTTTGTTAGCCCTTTTGTAGTCTTCCATTCGATCAGCATGTCTGGCCTTAGCCAAGGCAAGCTCATTGACGAAGTTTTCAGCTTCAGGGTTTGGTTCAGTAAGACGGGGCCTGATGTTCACCACTTGTTGGTCTGGATCTATATAGTTCCAGACCTCATGGATCCTAGCCACGAGTTTGAGGTTTCCGTACCATTTGGTCCAGTCAGCGTCAGAAGTCAGCTTCTGAGTGACCTTAGATGACTCCATGGTTGAGGAAGAGGCAATTGTAGCCTTGTAGGTTCGTATCGATATCGTTCGGATTGATCGATTGCCTATAGAGAGGCAGAGTTGTTGCTTCCGTTGAAGCTGAAGATCCTGGCCTTTTGTGGTTGCAGGATTGGCGCTGGCCAAAGGAGACTGAATAGTCCCAAGAGTTGCAAAGCACTTGATCGATTGATGATGTCTGAGTGACAGGTCCTTGCCTCTTGGCTGAAGGAATCAATCAAGAAGACAGTTGCTAGAGTCGACTGGGCTCATAACTGACGGTTAGTCAGGGTGGCCAGCGGAATATGCATATGTGAGTGAGCAGAAAAGAGCGTCTATTCGTACTAAAGAGTGGATGGAATCACCACAGGCTTGTGGGCCTAATGCTATCCTAATAAGTCTTGCAGAGCTAGGACCAGGTGGAAATGACAGTCTGGCCTGTTTCGTGATGGTCAGACCATTCCGAATGGGTTATGTCCATGACTCGCGTAGAAGCATGCATGGATTCTGTCATACAGCTACTATCTTCCCAAGGTCATGGGCAGCGACGAGCAGCATCGTCACCACTGGCTCACAGCTGTGGTCTGGCTCGCCTATGACAAGTGCCCAGATGAACTCAGGAATTTCTCTCCTCGTGGAATCAGTTATTCGACAAGCCCTGGCGCATTCGACACGAAGCGCACTAACACACTTTACGTCGCAAAGAACGGTGCTGGACCAGCGACTCACCCTGTAGTTACCTACGATGCCGGCCAGATCCTTTTCCCCTCTGATGTCGGGCCCAATGGTGCCTTGAGCCCGCCCCTGATCGGCTGGGGTCGCTTGCCTCAGCTCGCCAAGGACCAGTTCAACGGAATCCAATACGAGCACACCAAGGTTCCATTCAGCGACGCCAACTTCCAAAGCTACCTCGACGCAGCTTACGACGACGCCTTTTTCGTCGGCGTGTCGGATGTGATGGACTGTCAATCTTCGAGTCCATCTCCGACCGACAATGATCCCGATTTTGCTGATACGCCTACTTCCACTTCGCCGGCGTCCCAGCCCACACAGTCCGATGATTTCTAAAGAGACTTCCAGCTTTATACGATTTTAGTGGTCGAAAGGCCGAAGCCGAAACTATGTTATGGTGATTTTGAGCTGCAGTTCATCTCGCCCTTCGCAGTGACAGGAATCACTGCAGGCTGGTTTGTTTCAAGGCATCTTGGATTGTGTTTCACAGTCTTGGCCTCGGCTATGGCTTTAATCATATGGGTATTGAAGCCAGCCTTGACTTGGCTTACTAGGGAGACTCGGCTCGAGAAGACGAACAACGTCGTCTCACGATAGATCATACAGGGACTGCAGCTCGAACATGAAGTGCAGACCACTTCCTATTTGATTCATTGCCGACTCACCCAGCAAGGGCTTACCACGGATTTTAGGTTGTTTCTATAGATCAATTCCACTCAGATCATGTAGAATGTACAATAATAATAGGTATCGAGCAGCAGTTAGACAGGCAGGGGTTATATTGTGTGTATTGAAGAGTATATCGAATGAATGGCTATGGGAAAAAAACCCATATCTATACAATGAGTGCACAACTTCCCTCTCGCCTAATCTTTCTTGGCATCTACTGTTAGTGTAATAAGTGGGCTACCACCAAAATCCTTAACAGCTGAAAACCCTTCACCTCTCCTCCGGTGCTCTCCCGCGATGGCCTCGCAGCCTCCGGCGGGCTCTGGACCGTTGCCGGCCTCCTCGGCCGGCCCTGATCGAGGCTCTGGACCCTCTTTAGAGCCGGCCCTATCCTTAAGGGCTAAACGCCGCCGCGAAACCGAGGCCCAGCTACTCCGGCCTAGCCTCGTGGGAAGCTAGCCCGACGCCCCAATAATAACCCCCTTAACGGCTAAGGGGCCCTCGACTATGACTGGGATAGCTACTGGAGCTGTCCTTACAGCTCTTAATGAAGAGGCTAAGTACTTTAAAGCCCGAAAGGACGTCTTTATGGTTATTACTCAGTCTATAGATAACGTAATCTCTTGCTTTGAGGGGCCTAGGAAGCAGATTGTAAAAGAAGCTATAACCTATAACTATAACCTAAGCTTTAAAGAGGATTATAGGTAACGAGATTACGGCTCCGGCTCCGAGCCGGAAATGGACTGACGTAATAGCCTCGGCTTCAACTACAGCCGTGGCCGTAGCCCCGACTCGTACCCGAATCCCTCCGGCCCGCTATCTAAATATAAAGTCTAATAGAGACCCGGGCCTAGGCTCTATCCTAACCGAAGGAGGACCTCCGGGTCTTTACCCGTATCCTAGAAGAGGGCCTAGCGGCTATTAGGAAGTACGCCCCCTTTGCCCTACGCTAGATAGTCTGCTAGGCCCTTAGGCTCTAGCTAGTAGATATCCTATATATCTATTATATTGTAACTGGCTACTTACTGAGACCCCTGAATAAGCAGGTCTAGCAAGCCCTCTTTATAAATAAATAGAAACTAGTAGAGTGTTTTAGAGCTTATAAGGTTAAGACCCCTTACTAAATGATTTACTTACGTCGTCCTACGTTACCTTACTAAGATATAGACTCTTGATAGCGACGCCCTTAACCTAGTTACTTTAGTAGAAGATAAGTGTTACGGCCAGCTAGTCGTAGGGGTAGTTTGCAGAAGTTGAGGCTGCGGAACTGGTAACAGTAATCGTAGTCGTGAAATAGTTTCAAGGAAACTATGTCTGTCAATCGTAAGGGTAGGTAAGGCTTCGGTGATCAATCGTAGTCTTGTCAAGGTAGTAGTAGCTGAAAGCGGATGTTAATCCTGATACGAAGTTAATTGCTGAAGAGCTATGGAAGTCTGTCCTAGAGTCCAGCTCAAGTCCATCCTTATATACAAGTCCTGATCCTGAACATGTCCCTTGTCCCTTGGGTCGTCTTGGGTCATTCTGATCCAGAATGATCGTTTAGCCCCCAAGTCGTGTTGGATCATATTGATCCCAAATGATCCTTATCTTATCATCACGTGACCTGTACCATAGTTCTTCCGTTCCGTGAGAGGGTGCCTTGTGTCCCCTTGTCCTGTGTCACCAGGCATTGTCTGGTAACCAACACTGAGCTGGAAATCACGACCGAGGAGCTCCTTGAAGAGATCCAGGTCTCGACGAAACTCAAGCCTGAAAAAGCACACTTCTCTAGGAAGGACTAAGTCGAAAGGCTAGGCACGGTGACAGCCTGGTTCAAGGCGGAAGCCGTAAGGCAACTACCAAGACGCCTCCGTTTGATGGGGGCCAGCGTTTTTGTAAACCTGCAGTTCCCGAAGGAGAAGAGGTCTCCTCAATGTCTCCGCTGCGGCGGTTTTCACAACGAACGAACGTGCACCAGAAGGAAGAGATGCCTCAAGTGCAGCTCTCCTTCCCACACAACTGATCAACACCGGGCACCCTGCGGCGGCACTGAGGGTCACGATGGCTGCGACTGCCCCTTTAAATGCCCGTCGTGTAACGGGCCTCACGCCGCCTTCGATGCGACTTGCCCTATCCAACCCAAAGTGGTGAAGGGGGTAGTCCAGAGGAGGGATAAGGCTCAGCTACGGGCCATCCGAGCTGAGGGAGAAAGATTATGGAGAAATGCGACCCAGCAGTCGCATCGACATTCCCGTGAAGAAGAACAAGCGATGGACTGTACCCCGGCGAATGAGACACAAAAGAAGAATACAGCCCTCTAAAACCCTGCAAATCATGCAAGCGAATGTGGGCAGGCGGGCATCCGCCCACGAAACAGCACTGAACCTGGCTTACGCAGCCCAGATCGATATTCTCCTAATACAAGAGCCGTCTATCCGTTCGGAAGAGAGGAGGCTCACAAGACACCACCCAGGTTTTGAGACTTTCACCCCAGTAGATAACTAGACCGAAGACCGTCCCAGGGTACTTACCTACCTCCGCAGAGGAACTGGGGTACGAGGCGTACAAATACGGCCTCTACCCGATCCATCCACAGACCTGCTCTTCTTACGACTCCTCTCAGGAACGAAGGAGGTCCTCACAGTCATCAACGTATACAACGCCCCTCGTGGCTCTCTGCGATCTGGCCAGGCTCTCAGGAACATCCTAGGGGCCTGGCAACCCAAACCTGAGGATCGAGTACTGATTGCGGGGGATTTTAACTTACAGCATTGGACGTGGCAGCCCGAGGCCACGAGTTCCCCGGACGCTGAAAACCTAGTAGAATGGGCAGAAGCCGCCAGCCTTGTCCTAATGTCACCTATAGGTGAACCCACGCACAAAGGCGGCAACACCCTAGATTTATGCTGGGCGTCCAGCAACCTCCATGGGGCTTCCACCAGCATAGAAACGTCACTACACACGACATCAGACCACGAATCTCTGCTTACCCGGGTCCCCTTGGCCCTGATCGATTCACCCAGCCAGACGCCGGGAAGGTTTCGGCTCGACAGGATGGACGAGGAGCTTTTCCTCGGCATCATTAAACGCAACTTACAACCCATGCGCCGCACTGCAAGCAACATCCAAGACCCACAGTCTTTAGATCTCCTAGCACAACAGCTTACGGACTGTCTTATTAAAGCACTCACGGCTTCCACAAAGCGCACGCTCGGGAAAGGTACAGGGAGACCATACTGGAGCGAGAGCTGCACACGTAAACACCGAGCCTATGCGAGTAAGCGAGCGATGTTAGCAAGACTCCGCGCAGCCGGAGTGAACTGCCAATGGGAAGAAGAGGAGGTCGAAGCTCTAAAACAGGACTTCCTCTACGAATTTAAACGCTCCAAGGATGCCTTTTGGAAAGATAAGATCTCCTCAGCCTCCTCAAGCAAAGACATATTTGAAATGGTCGGTTGGCACAAAGCCACAGGATCCTTTCAGACCCCGCCACTCCGAGATGTAGACAACCAAGACACGCTTGTCTCACAACCAAAAGAGAAGCGCGACTTATTTACCCGCGTCCTCCTTAGAAACGCTGCAATCTCCGAGGACATACCAACAGAAAGCCCAGTCCTACCAA